GAGAGAGAGAGAGAGAGAGAGAGAGAGAGAGAGAGAGAGGTGCAGAGAATGAGAGAGAGAGAGGTGCAGAGAATGAGAGAGAGATATGAGGGTGTGAGAGTTTAAAAGAGGAAAAGGAAAAAGGATAGGAATGTTTTAAAGTTTTTTCTATAGGGCAATTCAAGGGCCAAAGTTAAAAAAAAGAAGAAGTAGAGAATAGGGTGTGGAAAGAAATATTTAGCGAAATTTTCATGCAGAAAGATACCTAGAAAATGGAAGGGGATGCTGTGAAATTAATCCTAGTTTTAGGGGATATGGAGATATTTTCCCAATAATGTTCTTTTGACAATCTACTTGCCCCATTTTGTTCTATTGTAGTTCACATAGGTAAGTTTCTTGTTTTGATAAGGGATGGTAGACTGGAAGTTATGATTACGATAAAAAATTGGGCATTCCTGAATTGTGAAAGGATCATCCGAATTTTGAGTTCTTTGTTTACCAAGGTGCTCTCAAGAGGAAGGGGGTGTATTCTGTATTTTTAAGATTGCTTATAGCACCTCCTTATACAAAACAAACAAAGCAGAGTGAACAAAATCTAACGATCTATTTCATTTATCCTTTTAGCATTCTGCACTTTTTCATGTTTGGTTCCCTTAAAGTTTATTGCTTGGACTTGGCTACTTTTGGACATTTTAATCTAGAGTCTCCTGTCTTGCAGTTTAAAAGAGTACTTCCCATTTGGAGTGTTTTTTGGAAGATTAATAATTGAACTGTCTCGCAGGCATGTTTGGCAATACAAGATTCTCCTTGTGCATTTATATTCCTATATGGGGGCCTTGTCATCTGCATATGAATGGTTAGTTGTCTTTATTTTCCAGCCAAAAACTCTTGCTGCTTGTAAATGCAGCACATTAATATGGTGGCCAATTCCTTTTGGCAGCTACAAGACATTGGATGTAAAGAATATCTTATTAGAGACTGTCTCTCACCACATTTGGCCTTATATGTTGCTGTCGCCGCTTTGGTCAGATCTAAGTGACCTGCTGAAGGAATACCTTAAATTTTTAGATGACCACTTCAGAGAAGCTGCTGATCTTGCCTTTCTTGCATATCGGCATCGTAATTACTCAAAAGTAAGTGGAAAGTTAATAAAATACAGTGTTGCAATCTTAGCCACTGATATTTATTAATAGCAAAAACTGTATTTTCCTAGTCAATTGTTCTTTGGAAGGTGGAATTGTCATATAAGACTCATTTTTTCCTTATTCAAATGGCCTATATTATGGCAACTTTTACCTTGCTTTCTATCTGTTCATTTGTTTACTATTTATTCACTTCTTCCGCATACATTTCTTTGAATCAATACATTTTGGCTTTGACTGCAAGCTAGGTGAAAACAATTACTAAATACGGTGCTTAGTTTGATACTCAGAAATAATAAAGTTGTCTATTGTTGAATTTTCTATCGTTTAAGTGCATGCAAAATGCAATAACATTTTTAAAATTTCTGTTATTTGGTTCTTTTGGAGAAGTAACACCATTAGAACGCGTACAGTATTAGAAGGGTTTATATGCTGTGCTACATGTACCATTCTGTTTATTTTGGCATATGCGCCATGATACACTTTTTCGATTTATCAAACCTATATACTTGGATGTGATCCCACTAGTTTATCTTTAAATTAATGGCAACCCACTTAATCGACAACTCTGTGTATATGCTTACTTCCTTGTGTTCATATGATGACATATATATATATATATATATATATATATATATATATATATATATATATACGTACGAACCTACCCTACCTCCTACGTATAGTATACACGAACTAACCGACCTAACCGAACCGTAAATTA